CGCTGCATTTGTGAGATAGAGGAATATCATATTTCATTTTTAAGTAAAAATTGAGAAAGATAAGGGCTGGAAAGTACCCTCTGGCGAAATCAGAGCTTGAGTTGTTTGAAATCTGAAAGCCGAAAAACTCGTTGGAGCAAAGTTCTCTAAGAAGAGGGAGACTAACTGAGACATAAAACATTTTAATATTCTCACTTTCAGTTTGATGAAGGACTCAGAAAGCTTCCGAAGTCGCAGAATCACACCCTATCCACCCAGCCGCAACATATGCCGTGACATATGCCGACGAAGGCATATATCTTTCAAACATTTAAATGAGGCGTATCTAGTTTGACTATCATTAAATCAAAGAAGCGTATCAGTATTGAGGGAAGCTTTTGCTTTTTACTTTTAATCTGCCATATACTATATAACTATTATTATTATTATAACTTTATTTTTAGTATTATAATATTCCACCAGCCACAATCGAAGCACAACACGAGAGAGGAATGTAATGAAGTGCTGGTCTTTGGAGTAAATGTCTTTTGCGGACCTCTTGTTTAATAACTATTTATGCAACAACAACGAAGTTCTGTTCTGCTGCTGAGGAACCTTGCTTTCACTCCTCATCAAGTGGTTGCGTAGTAACACTTACAGGATGAAACTTAGAAACTCTGCCTTTAAGGAGAAAGGTTTTGAGACATTTTAACTGAACTTTTATGTTCCAGAACTTCATTGCATAACATGATATGGAAACAAATCAGTGTAAAGAGACAACGGTAAACAAAAACGGTCATGGTTGGTGAAGATTAATAAAATGTTCGCAAACTGTGACGGAAATTCTTTCAAGATAAGTCAACTTTGTTAGCCAATTATTAAAAGCTCGTTGTAGAAAGCCGAAATAACTTCACGCTAACATGATGGAGAGAATTATCATGACTTGGAAACGACTAACTTTGGCTATAAAGATTACCATGGCAGCAATACAGTTTCTTGGAGGTAAGCTTGATTGTAGCCTTAGTTGGCTCTAACTCAAAAATGAACTAGGTGACTCCCATTTCTAAAATTGAGCTGGAATTAGTATATTTAGTAAATAAATCCCTTCTGGTACATCGACTGATAATGTTCGTGGACGAGAGATTGTTCGGAAAATGAATATTTGGCCGAGAAGCAAAGCTTGGAAACTTTGAGGACATTCTCTCAGTCAAGGATATTATCAACCGACATATCAGCAAGCCAGAAAGGGTTTTATTTATCTGATATCCCTCCCATTAGTTTTCATATCGCACGAAAACCACTTACATAAAAGACGATGCTTATCTGATAGCAAAAGCGTATTTGCGATCAGCTTTTCATAATCACCAGAGTCACTAAACTCTACAAAACGACCTTGCTTTTACTTCGTGTAAAATAATGGATGAGACTCTTTAGCTTGTTTTGTTTCTTTTCGACGAAAATAAACGGATGTTAGGTAAATAGAAAAAAAAGGTTACACACATCGAGCAGCCTTGATTAATAACTTCATTCGTACAATCTAACTGTTAAAAGTATTAAAATTCGGCGAGAAAGATGAAACTATTCATTAAACATTTAACAAGTAAAAATGCTTTTGAGACCGTTATTTATATTTAATTAATTATTAAATATAAACAGCAAGTGAACAAAACAATGAATTTCTATTACACACCTGTATCTTAAAGGTAAAAGAAAAAAAAATGAAGCGACTCGTTTCACTTAGCGATCGTTTCTTCTGTCTTTGAAACAAGCATACTTGTCTCGTAGATAGATATATGGATTATAGATTTTCTAAACTAATTCGTGATATAATGATTACCCCAAGGTAAGAGTTCAGGGTGGTGAAAAAAGGTTTCCTAAAAACTTCTAGTCTTTCTGGATTGAAATCAACACTTGGATTGGATTTGTAAAAGTAAATAAAGGAACAAAACATCGCTAGCAAAAGAAATGCTTGTTTTGCTTGTTAACATTTTTTAAGCTCCCGTTATGTTCGTGTCCAGATCTTTTGCGGACAAAAACCATATGGAGCCTCCTGAAATTAAGAGCAAAAAGTGCACTTCAACCGGCCTTCCATGATACAAAGTGTGCCCATAGGAGAGCAAAAAGGACATTAAAGGGCTAGTGCTTTAATTTTGATACTTGAAAGCTTGAAATACTTCAATCTTGTAACTGAGAAACTTTAGGCTTTTAATTCTTGATACTATAAGATGGATTCATCGTACTTAATTATTCTAGCGATGATCGTAGTTTTTCATTTGTTAGTCATCTTAACATGTTCATGCATTCAAGTAGGAGTCAAACTTGTTGGACTCATCTATCTCGCCATCTTTCATGACCAAAATCAAGTCACAGTCTTTGATGGTGTTCAGTCGATGAGCTATGGTGATTACTGTGGAGCCCTTCAGTTTCTCTCGCACTATCCTCCAAATTGTTTGTTCTGTGTCTGGATCTACGTGTGCAGTGGGTTCATCTAGGATGACAATTTTTCTTTTATGCAAAAGAACACGAGCCAAACAAATTAACTGCCGTTCTCCTACACTGAAGTTTGCACCATGCTCCAACAACTGGTGATATAATTTCCCTTCCAACCTTTCCACCAGCTCTTTCATTTGAACAATCTCTAAGGCTCGCCATAACTCTACATCCTGGAACTGCTCTACGAGATCAAGATTTTCTCTCAACGATCCACTGAAAAGGAAAGGACTTTGGCTTAGAACTGATATACATCTTCGAGCCTTTTGAAGGTTGATCTCCTTTATTGAAACGTCATCAATCATTATGGCACCTTGGGCATCTGGCATACGCAGAAGAGCTGCCACTAGAGATGACTTGCCGGCCCCCGTTCGTCCCACAACAGCAATACTTGTTCCTCCTTCTACATGAAGATTAAAGTTCTTCAGTACTTGAGGCCCCCCAGGATAATAAGTCAGCGACACGTCTTCAAAAGTTATATTCCCTTCAAGAGGCCAATTATTCGGGGGAGGCTGCTTCACTTGGTACCCGGGCTCATGGTCAAGTTTGGTGTAAGTTATAACTCGTTCAGCAGACGTCATGAGATTTTCTACTTCCGATATACTTGTAACAGCAAAATCCATCAGTTCAACAGTCTCGATGACGTAAACAAGCCCCAGTCCGGCGAAAGCTGTTGATAAAATACATTGATCAAAGGATAGCCTTCCAGATCAATATTCTTATGAGGATTGACCGATATATTGTGGTAGAAACAACACGTAAAGGAAAAAGAAAGACGAAAGGAGAAAACAAAGAAAGAAAATTTTTCGATGTAACCTTTACAGTCCCCCAGTATCAAATTATCTAGGTCAATAAGGGTTTTGAGTAAGTATGTTAATAAATAGGATATGATAATTAATGCGGGTGGACTATAATTCAGGGAAGAGTTAGGCAAGTAATTTCGAAATCTATTTTAACAATGGGCATAAATGCTTCTTAATCGTAGGAGACGAAGCTCTTAACAAGTAAGTGGAATTAAAGAGAAATTTTATGGTTAAGGAGGAAAACCCTTTCAGTGACAAAATAAATGGTAAATTCCATATACCGTGTGAAAAGAGAGAAACGACAAGAAGCAGCACATACAAATTACATCTAAAGAACATGGAAATGATGTTAGTGTCCAGTTTACTTTGATAAAAAAAAAAAAAATGAAGGATTCTGGTACAAATGGAGCAGACTTTCCAAACGAAAACTTATTCAATTAGAAAGTTTAATTTACGTCAATTATACGCAGATACAAGTAAGAAAACTAATGGGGCGAGTGAGCTCTATAGACTATTTCATCATAGTCTTTGCACCATTTTTATAATGGCTATGTTGTGAGGTTACAAAGGGTTAAGTAAACTGTATAAATCTGTCCTCATTATTTTAAAAATTCTAATACATGTACTGCTTACACTGTTCAGCTGCTTCTAACATTGCTTAGCACCTAGGTCGCTTGCCTCTGGTGCAACAGCCATCAACTCACAACATTGCTGCACCGAAATCTTATTAATTCCAATTCGAGCGCCGACAAAGTTATACGCCAGCAGTTTGGGTCTATTGGTTCTTGCCATTTTAACTGAGCGTCGTGCGTCAGGGCCAATGGGCATGGTTACAAAGCTGTTGTTATTGTTGTGTTGTTTTTAACATTGTGGCGTCTGTGATAATATTGTAAGTACATGTAAAGATGATTTTTGAGCTGTTCAGTTAAGCATAAAACACCGAAACACGGTGAATTTGATTCAGGAGAGAAATGCTTTTAATTTTGGAGTACAGCCTCCGTTACAGCTAACAGATACATACCAGCATCTTGAGACACAAGGATTGCGGTTAGAGCCACCGCAAAAATCAAAAAAGAGATCACAGAGGTCATTCGTACTCCTAGCCATCTCACACTCGCCAGCACCATGGTGAACGACTGGGTATGAATATCTTGATATCTGAATGGAGAGAAGAAAAATTGCCCATTTAAATGATCTTAAGTGATACTTCAAGATGAAATATTTCAGGCAGCCTGATTCCAAAGGAGTTCTTTTCCCAGTTATCATTAGAACACCTCAAACCTTCTTCATTTTTCTGTATTTGTTTTGTTTACCTTATATTTGGTTTTCTTACAATTTACTCTTTCAAGTCTGATGTGTTACAGTTCTTAAAAAAAAAAAACCTTCCAAAGTGCAATCTCGGGGACATCTCATCATTATCTCTTTTACTCCGGAAAAAAAAAATTCTGCTAAGACTGCTAGTTATATACGACTATGTTTTTTTTATGTATGGCTTGGCTCACCACGACGAGCCCTCCCATCAGCTTACCGTAGTTACCTGTCCGTCTTAAGTCACCTACTTTACATATTTTAAGAAGCACATGTAGTTGTCAAAGAGGCTTGCTGAGTTAAAAGCTATCACACTGATCTCAATGATTACAATTACTTCAACATTGAACGTACCTGTAGAGCTCTTCCATGAAGTCTTGTTGCCTCTTTCTTGTTCTTATAGTCTCCAGCCCAATAAGAGTCTCCGAGACGTGTGAATACACAGGGCTACGGTTTATTGACTCTAACCTTTTGAGCTGCCGAGAGGTTTTTAAGCGGTACATGGAGATGTAAGCAACAACGACAGCCAGTGGCACAACAACAAAAAGAACCCAAAAGTTGGTGAAAGTTGGCACAAGAGTTGCGGCAAGCATTAGCAAGACCAACTGAATAGATAGAAGAAAACTTTTTGGCAACAGTTCGTCCAAGCACCCCACGTCTTTAGAGAACCGATTAAGAATTCTTCCAACAGGGTTTGAGTCAAAAAACAAAACAGGTGCTTCTAGGAGAGCTACAACCATTTTATCATGAAGGCGTTCAGAACATCTTAAAGAGGTCCAAAGAAATGTATATGCGCGGATAGAAGAGGAAACGAGTGATCCAAGCACAAGACAGCCATAGAAAACTAGGTTCATTGTGTCCTTCTGTTCTTCTTGACTCTTCTTTGTTAAGAATAAGAGCCAAACGTCAGGAGAAACCATCATTACTACGAAAAACAAGCAAAAAAATTAAGGTAAATAAATACGCATCCAGAGGAGATTGTGGAAGCTAGGGGTATTGTTCTCACTCTCGTAGGTACGTTCCCTCTTACAAATAATGGTTGCGTAATGTGGGTGAGTGGCGCAAGGCAGGAGAATATTGTACGGTGGGATTTCAGCAGGCCTACTCCTACTGCTTCACATGTTTGGCCCGAAGCAATGCACCGTTAGACCTTGTTACCTCTGATTAGATTAAAAGTGTAAAAATGATCATAGCCCTCATCATATTTCTTTGATGTGATAATAAACTCCGTAGATGATTACATGCATAAGAATCCCGTTTCCAACCTCACTAGGAATATCATGATTTAATCGCACCGCAGCAAGAATAGAAAACAGACAACTTGTAAATCATTAACTTTG